AATGGGGGGGGTAAACTGCAAATTTGTGTTCTTTGGATCTGAGCCTTTTTTTTTTTGGCTAGTTCTTTTTGCCACGAGTTCCCCGGGAATCCTGGGCATTTGTTGATTAACGTAGAAATTTTGATAAATTTTGAATTTTTCAAGATAAAGCTGGAATGCCTCCATTTTTTAACAACCAACGATTGGAACGGATAACTTACATAGAAATTTGCTACTTGAAGTAGGATGTGGGCAGTGCCATGTTAGCGAGCACCAATTTGGCAGCATTGATTTCGAAAGGTTGCATCCTCAATCGCTCGGACATGACAGGGGTGAGAAGATAGATGCAAAGAAGAAAAAAATGATGTGGCGGTCAGTCTGGGGGTTTTAGGGATCGCCCTAGAAGGATGTATTCAACATGAGGGGAGAACATGTTAACATAGAAGTTGCCAACCTGATGTCTGGACCCTCAAGTTACTTCCACGTAAGGGTTTTTAGTCTCAGTTTTCACACTTCCATGATGAATATGTTACTGACATATCTGATGAGCTACTTCCATGTAAGAGATTCACGGTCAGTTTTTCTGCATTTGCTGGCCCGGTAGCCCAGTTTCACTTTTTCCCCAGGAATTGGACGTAAACGACTTCCATGTAAACCGACAGGTTTTTCCATCCTGACTTCCACGGTAAAAGGACCCGGTGTAGAGGAAACGATATAAACGATGTAGAAAACAGTACAACATGGAGGACACGCGTGAACATGCTAGGAGGCATGTAACATGGTAGAAAAATACAGTGAAAACCTAGGAAAATGTTATAACTAAAAATGCTTTAAAAATATAGTGAAAACCAAGACAATGTCAACGAGCGGAAAGGTTGAGCAGGAAATCCGATTTGGTTTCTGTAGATAATGTTAGATGATGAGCAATGTAGTTTGGTGATAGGAAATAGTGGCTGCCTCGCGTACAAGACATTGCCATGAAACCTTGGAGCAAGATGCGGATGGTATAGGAAAAAAGGTGTATGAGTTGTAAGATTTTAGGAGTTGCATGGGAAAATTTGTTTCATGGTAATCTGTGTGACGTTAGAAAAGTGTGATTTCGTTCACAGAGTAAGAAAAATAAATACAATCTGCAGATTAGAGTAATTATAATGCTTAAAGCTGTTTGACGTTTTTTGGTGCCTCCCTGATTCTGGTAGTTTTGTGATAAGAACTACAAAAACGATCTACTGGTAAACGGAAGGAATAGTCTTTCCGGTTTAGAACTGAGTCGACTGTCAAGTGATGCATAGGCTCCAGGCCTCTGGTTATTGTCACAAAGCATTGGAATGAAGATTGCGCCCAGGAGCCACCTAGGTTAGGAGACAAATGCTGTAATATCATTGTAAGAGGCCGTACTGAGAAGGCTGAAACAGAACTAAAAGTGAATCTTGTACTAAAACATCGAGAAAGAATTCGAATCTTCTAATGGCAATGACGGGAATGATATGCATCTGTACGTCCGTGATAGTATGTGTGCCTTTTAAAAGGGATGTTTGGCGAGTGTGATAGCTGAGTAGATTTTCCGGGATGCCAAACAATTATCTCTATCGATGTCAGGGATGATGCTATTCCGCGTTCCTGTAAAATACCTATTTTCCAGACCCTTGGGGGGTGGGGGGGGGTACCCAGGCCTGTAAATGGCCTAAATATATATATATATATACTTTTGATTTGGACTGCATGTTCGCCACTGTTCTATATCTCCCGTGGGTTTTGCATTGTTTTCCTCGATTTTCATTCGTTCTTATACCCTTTCTTACGTATTGGGTTTGCACTGCCCATTTTGCGAGTAGAGCTATGTTTTGATTTCTCACCGTACGGCCAAAATGTTGCGGAACTTCGCAGAGAAGCATGGACCACGATTCTGGGGAGAGAACAATTTAGACTTTGAGAGGTCACATGACCACTGTTCACACAAAAAAACGGATATATAATTTATCTACAATAGGTGGGAGCAAACTTGCGCTGTTTTAAGATAAATGAGCAACCAAAGGCGGATTTACGGAACTTGAGATAGAACTGTTCACAATGCCGCAGTACCTTGTAGGAAACATATTTGGATATAGAAGTTACAAAATCGTGGAGTTTACCCTAAAAAGGTCCATTTAATGATTGGAAAATTATGACCCGATAGCAATTGTTTATGTTGGGGCGCTTCATGTTTGAGCCATGCCATATGGATGAGGTGGAGTTTCACGCGCCCCCGCCCGAGTCAAAAAGCAAGCGCCGGCTTTCGTTCCACCCCTTCTCAGGTATGTATGTATATTGCATATATATATATATATATTTATACACATGTAAGTATATGTATAGATATGTAGATATAGATCAACAACAATATTAATGCTACTGATAACGATAGCAATAGCAAGAATAACAATAGTAACATCAATCTACTGTATCGGTTTGGGATTCAACATTTCCAGAGCATTCAGAGGCAGAAGTGATCATCACGTTTGATCATCTGGGGCCTTGAGCTGGCTCTAGCGAGAGTTTTTGGAAGTTCAACACTCAACCCCCCAACAGTTGGTTAAAAAGCTGCGCTAGAAACAAACAAACACACACACACATCCCAGCTAACTGTAGACTATAGATATATCCATGATGAATAGTAGTACTGTAGTATTGGTTATAAAACAACTCACCTCTGTTTTGGGATGCCCTTGCCAGGGGCAGCTCTGGCCACCCTGGTAAGTCCCGAGCCAACCAACGGAAAAGAAGGCCTGGCTGAGTCAATCGCAACCCCCCCAGAAGGCAGAAAGTAGGAAACTTGGCGAAGTCCAATCCTCAAAAATTTGGCAGTAAATAACTTTTCCATCTTTTTTTGGGGGTTTGCTATACTTTTATCCTTTCTGTTCCGTTCTGTTCTTGTTCGGCGGGAACAAAGTAACATCAGGGGAGTGGGTCCCACTGAAGTGGCCCAAATCTTCTTTGCGTTCAACTAAAGAAGCAGTCCCACTCATCGCTGAGCCCATCGTTGGTGTTGGTTCTGTCCCTACCTTATATTATTGGTTCCATCATTCAAACTGTTGGTGGCATATCCCCAGTTTTGGTTGGTAGTTATATACGTATATAATATGGATATAACTCAGTGATCCCAATTATTATAGGTGAAATATCCCTGATTTTTCCTCATTCTTGGTTAAAACATTCCCATTTTCCAAGCAGCCACACCTATCTTTTCCTGGTGATCGGAGGCCTCGAGCGAGAGCAGCGAGAGCGAAAGCACTCGGTCTTCAGCGGTCGTTTTATGCCGTTGTCCTTATGGGCTCAAGCTGAAAGTCTGAATCTCAGTCTACGCCATGCTGTGGTGATGGGCCATTTTGACAAAAACTCCATTTTTTTTTGGTGATGAGGGTCTTTTTGTGGAGAAATGATGCGACATTCGGGTGATTATGTAAATTTATCTAGCTCAATAATGTAAAATTCACATTTTCAGCCAAGTCCTATCCTGATGATCCACATCTTGGTAAGTGTTTTGTTGATTTAGGCTAAGACCAAATCTCATCTATTGTAAAGAATATATGTATGCATATAATATACAATATATGATATGCATATATATATATAAATACACCTTATTTTATTGATATCTATTTTATCTATTATATTTATATCACAATATATATATATATACAGTACACATGTTTCCAACCACCAAGTCCAAGATCTCAGTGTCCCAGGTGCCACCCCTCCGCAGTCCGGGCCGGGGTCGCCGGAGCAGAAGCAGGTCGGGTCGCTGGGGATATCAGGTTATTTCTTCCTCCTTTTGGTTTACTTATGTCACAATACAGTGTAATATATAGTAGAGAGATTTGAAAAATGGATGATTTTGATGAATTTGGAGCATTTCCCTACTGTTTGCACACGCTTATAGTCACCATAGTCACCATTTAGGTGCTTGTTCACCGCTGTGGGCTCTGGGTACTCCTCCGTTCTGATTGGGGGCCCATATGGGAGCATTGAATATCAGGGGGATGGGATTGGTTGCAATGGATATAGAAACCAGAATCAAATAATCAAAGTATCCTAATACAGCCCAGTTATAAACCAGTTTGAGCATCCATAAATTGCCATAAATCCCAGTTTTTTGATGTTCACCCGCAAAAATCCATGAGTTTTGCCCCATACCTGGTGGTCCCCGTGGTGCAGCCTGAAACCTACGGTGACCACGTTGGCCAGGACGTGAAGTTCGATGATGACGATGGATCCTCGCCTTCGGTGACAGGCATAGCGGCGGGCATCCTGTGGGCGGACTTTCTTTTTTTTGCTGGTGGTGGTGGTGGCGGCGGTAGTGCTTGTTATTCTTGTATTTTCTTGTTATTATTGTTATCATTGTCCTCATTATGATTATCATTTGTCATTATCATTTGTCATTATCATCATTGTCATTTGTCATTATCATTGTCATTATTATGATCATCATCATTATTGTCTTCATAAGCTGAATGATCATGATGATGTAGTGGTCATCATTTTTTGTGACTCCGAGTTTCGAACCATAGGTGAGAAGACCGAAAGGCGCGAGGGCCGCAAGGGTTCAGTGGATTTGCAGTGGTTCCAGTCTTGCCCCAAACATTGTGTGATGAGCAAAAATGGGCTGGTGTAATCTGGTGTAAATGATATCATGTATATAATATATAATATATATAATATATATAATATATATAATATATATAATATATATAATATATATAATATATATAATATATATAATATATAATATATATAATATAATATAATATATATATATATATAATATAATATAATATATATAATATAATATATATAATATATATAATATATATAATATAATATATATATATATAATATAATAATATATATATATGTAATAGATACACATATATATATATATATATATAATAGATATAAATGATGCTGAATTTGGGGACTTTGCACACCCGAGTTTGCTGCTTGCTACTGACCGTGGATCGATCATGTCACCGGCACCAGGCAGGCTTCTCCAGAGATCGAGGCAGATTTCAGTGGTTGATCCATTGGGGTGTTGAAAATGGGGTATACCCTCTGGTTATGTCAAAATAGCTATTGAAAATGACCATTTATAGTGGATTTTCCCATTAAAAATGGTGATTTTCCATAGTTATGGGACAGTTTACCAAAGGGTATACCCTCAGAATGCCCCCGCAGAGATCACGTTTTACCAAATTTTCAGATAGACCCTATGTTCATTGACTGGTTTATATCTCCATTATCCCATGATATTCCCATTGTATCCCCTATCTTACAGGATGGGGCCCCGAGTCGATAGCGTTCAGTTGCCTTATGGTTTATGGCTGATATAACTATAGTTACTATAGTTAATGGGGGTTATCATGGGTTATAAACCAACAAACATCACTGGGGGGGGCCCATCCTGTGGACGCCGCAGGTCCGAGAAGCCCTGCCGACGCCGCCCATCGCGCCGGCGGAGCGCAAGGTCGCGGCAAGGGGATCCTCGGCGCCGCGGCGGCAACTGTGAAGCCTACATGGATTGAAAGAACAAAGGAACGATAGATATTAGCCTCTGGTAAATCAACAGTTGGACCCTGAAAATCACCAATTTTAAGATAGATGGAGGGATGATAGATTATGATAGATTATGATAGATTATGATAGATTATGGCTATGGATCAATACCTATAAGTACCATTTTTAGTGGGATGAACATCCATAAATCCCAGCTATTTTGATGTGAACTACAGGGGTACAAGGTTTTGACACACTGCCATATTACCCTCTGGTAAATTAACAGTTGGACCCTGAAAATCAGCAATTTTGAATGGAAACTAGTCTTCCAACCCCGATGACTGCCAGGGTCTATGTTAATTTACCAGAGGGTAAGATAGATGGAGGGATGATAGATTATGATAGATTATGATAGATTGTGAGAGGTTACATTGACATAACATTGAAATTTCATTGACATTTCCTTTCTTTCCATGACATAAACCGTTAGATTCTTTTTACATCAGGTAGTACACCCAATGCCATAAACCTCCCATTTTGGGATGGTTGACTTTGACATTGACATTCCATCCTTATCCATGTATGGCTACACGATTTATACACGTATCTACATGTATGGCTACATGTATACACATGTATATATGTACATACATAGACGGGTTGTCTATCTATATCTATATCTATATCTATATCTAATATCTATATCTACATCTACATCTGTATCTGTATCTGTATCTGTATCTATATCTCTGTCTATATCTTTGTCTACATCTATATCTATCTCTGTCTATATCTATATCTCTATCTGTCTATATCTATATCTATATCTGTATCTGTGTTTGTATCTATATCTATATCTATATCTGTATCTGTATCTGTATCTATCTATATCTATATCTATATCTATATCTCCGTCTATATCTCTGTCTACATCTATATCTATCTTTGTTTATATCTATATCTCTGTTCCTCTATATCTATATCTGTATCTATATCTATATCTCTGTCTATCTCTATATCTATCTCTGTCTATATCTATATCTCTGTCTGTCTATATCTATATCTATATCTGTATCTGAATCTGTATCTATATCTATATCTATATCTGTATCTGTGTTTGTATCTATATCTGTATCTGTATCTGTATCTGTATTTGTATCTGTATCTGTATTTGTATCTGTATCTGTATCTGTATCTATATCCATATCTATATCTATATCTTTATCTATATCTATATCTATTTCTATATCATATATATTGAATTCTATGGCATATGGGTCAAGTCATTGGCGTAGTCATCGATCATTTTGACCTGGACGTTTTGAACCAAATTTGGCTGATTTTGGATAGGGCCATTGTCATAAGTTGTTATTTGGGTATGGATCAATACCTATATATATACCATTTTTAGTGGGATGAACATCCATTTACCAGCTATTTTGATGTTCACCAGGGGTACAAGGTTTTGACACACTGTCATTTTGGGAGTCCCAATGTATAGTCACATTGGAAATCAGCCAAATGTTTCGCTGACGAAACGCTTGCAACAAGTTGTTCTTTTCTTGGCCAACCATTGGTTGGCCTTGACACCATGCCCCTGGGGATCGAGTTGGGACGATCCTGGGTTCAAAATGGTGCATTGTGGATGATAAGAAGCAACAAACATGGTAAGATCAGATAAAACACTGTGGACATTTACACCGCAAACATGGTGTCTGAGTTTTTTTTGAAATGGCAACTTGTGGGCAAAATTGAATAATTTGGATACTTTGGTTGGTTCACTCCGTAGTTTTGGTGGTTTGATCTCCAGGTCGGGTTGGTCGAATCCTCCAAACATCTCGCTGGGAAAATCGTTTCCGAAGTAAGGCTCCGCCAGACCCCTGCCGAGCCAAAACAGATGATGAGGCGCATCTCTGCTTGAGAGCTCTGAATATGGTGGTTTCGGGAGGGGAAACTGTGCAGAAATTGACGTTGTTCTTTATTGTACCAAAAAAGTCCAGGATTGGTCGAAGGGCAATCCATGTAGACTTTTTTTGCCTGCAAAAAAAATGTGGCTTCTATACCGCGACACATGTTTGGTGTACCCAAAGAGTCTCAATGTGCCAGAACAATCTCCAAAACTGTGGGTCGATTTCGATTACGCCGCCCAAAAAAATCATGCCATTTCTGCACCCTCAGCCGCTTTTTCTGCGAGGCAGATAAAGGCCCACCCGTTTCTCTTCCTAGGCCCATGCCACCTGCCTCAATCGGCAGGGGTGGAATTGGAAGCTGAGAATGTGGTGATTTCCTGTGGCAATCTGTTTTTCTGGAAGAAAAGAGAATCAACCAATTCCATTTGTAGAACATAGATAGAAAATCACCTAGGATAGATGGAATAGATAGAACATCCACCACTATCGCTCTTGGGGAGGCTCCAAGTTCATAGTCTCACTGACAACACACGAAATCAGATACCCAATATAAAAAGGGACAACACGTGGGATGTGAACAAAAACTGGTGGCAGTGAAGTATCGGAACTTCACCCACTTCAATGTCAATCACTCAATCTAATGGAATCCAATCTTATCTTTTTGGTGAAGTCAAAATATATATATATAATATAATAATATATATATAATATATACATTTGATATATATATATAGATATTTGATATATATATAGATATTTGATATATATATATATATTTGATATATATATAGATATTTGATATATATATATAGACATTTGATATATATATATATATATAAAGATATAGACATTTGATATATATATATAGATATTTGATATATATATATATATTTGATATATATATATATAGATATTTGATATATATATATATATTTGATATCTATATCTATATATATACACACATGTATTCAATGTCTTAGCCGATTTTTTGGTGAAGTCAAAGGCATCAACTCTGAGGTCTGCCGATTCCATGCCAGACAAGGAGCGGAAAACAGGCGCCCAGCATGCTGCCCGACACCCCATGGAAAACCCCATGTAGATCTACAACTTTTCTAAGCGGCAGCAGACTCTTGCAACAGTTTTGAATATGTATTCACTGAAACGTATACGTGTTCATTTACACATTCATTTACATATACCAATATAGATACATATGTAACGTAAATACACATGAAATCTCATTTATATATATATATCTAGGTATACACATATGTAACATACATCTACATAGATATCTATATCTATATCTCTAGGTCTCTAGATATCAATATCTCTCGATCTCTAGATATCTATATATATATATATATCTCTATATCTCTATATATATATAAATCTATAGATAGATATCAACCGACGCGAGACATCTCCACGGCTGCGCCAGGCGTGTCCAGCGCCACCTTAAAGGTGCCCCGTGAGGACGACCGCGCGGGCAGCCTGAGCCCTTCCAGCCCTTCCAGCGCCTCCGGGAGCCGCGGGCGCCAGGGAGGTGCCCCTTTGGGTTGGAAGAAATGGTGGGTTTAATGGTGGACATGGTATATCTATATTTCAATGGATTGGTTTAAGGGAAAATCTACAGGAAACCATAGATTTTCCCATTAAATATGGGGCTTTCCTGTAATTTTTCCCTTAAACCAATCCATTGAATATTGGGTTATATAGATATATGGTGTCTCACAATGTGGGTCAATATCTAAATATGCTGGAAAAAACACTATATATATATATATCTATATCTATATATCTATATTTCAATGGATTGGTTTAAGGGAAAATCTACAGGAAACCATAGATTTTCCCATTAAATATGGGGTTTTCCTGTAATTTTTCCCTTAAACCAATCCATTGAATATTGGGTTATATAGAAAAAAATGGTGTCTAAAAATGTGGGTCAATATCTAAATATGCTGGAAAAAAACACTATATATATACATATCTCTCTCTATATATATATATATATTATCTATATATCTATATGTCTGTATATCTATATATATCTATGTATATGTCTATATATATATCTATAAAATGGATATGGATACCATGTTTATATGGGATATTATCATGGTTATATGAGTTATTAATGGGATGTCTATGGATATCTATGGTTATCGATACTATAGCTCAATGGTTATGGTTGAATGCTTATTCTATGAGATATCTATGAGATATCTATGAGATATCTATGGTTACTGTGGTTAGTATGGATATTTAAGGTATAGATAACCATTGGGGATACTATGATATCTATGTTTTTTTTTCCCGAGATATCTATGCTTGGATAGTTGTTGTGGAGATATCTATAGTTTTTTAGGGTTTTAATAGGATTTTTGGATCAGATTTATGATTTGCTGCAAGATGAAAGGATTTCAGATGGCTTCACTGGCGGTTTTAGATGGTTTCACTGGGCGGTGTGAATAATGCCCGAACTAAATGGAGGTTTCTAGCTGGGAAATTCATCTATAAATACTGTATTTTCCAACAAGCTACTTTTGATTGCCGGAAGGTAACATGATTTTCACCATCAACAATAGGGGCTTTCATTGGATTCTTGATGGGCTTAAACTCCCCAACATGAGGATTTTTGATGATGAAAGTGGCTGAAAAGAGAGATTTACACATGCATAACTTGGGATTTAGTCAATGAGGATTTACTACTATTATTACCCTCTGGTAAATTAACATAGACCCTGAAAATAGCCTAGTTTTAATGGAAACTAATCTTCCAACCCCTATCTGCCAGGGTCTATGTTAATTTACCAGGGGGTATTGCATTACTCAAAATGGAGAATCAGCGATTTTTCACTGTCCAACGTAGGAATCTCACCATCTAAAACACGCAGGGATTTCACCATGGAATTTCTTGGGCTCAAGTCATGGTACCCCCAAAATTGAAATGGCCATGGTCATTAAAACATGGATCTGAAAGTCTGAACGCATGCATTTTTTGGGGCCAATGATTTTGATGAAATGGTCAGAGTCTGAAATATTTTTCTCCTTTTCCGTTTCTCTGGCTCTACCTTCGAATGTTTGGATAAGATAAAACATGATAAAACAGATGGACTCTCTCCCCATATTCTATTCTGGGGATGTAGGTGGATAGGTGTAACCAATATCCAAGATAATCCATATTAATCCATTCCATCTATCCAATGTCATACAATGGTAACTTGTTGAATATAGAATCTATGAATAAATGAATTGGAGGGCATTAAAGGAAACAACAAGTCGTTGATGACACCCCTGGGATGTTCACCTGGGTTTCCTCTGGTTTGGTGGTTTCATTTTTTAAAGTTCTCGAGTTCTATTCATATCTTTCCAGTTTCAGACAACAAAACCAGGAACCCAAGGTAAATTTCAGGGCTAAGAGCCCCTAACTCTTCGAATTTTTCCTGGTAGAAACCACATTTTCCGGGGAAAAATCCCAGAGAAATCCTCCAAATGTCTGGTTTTTCCCTAGGCGGCCAAGCAGTTTTACCGTCGACCTCTAACCGGCACCTTTCGCCGAGTCCAGCGGTCTCCCGGTGAGTGAGAGATGGGCAGATACGTTTCTGTTTCTGAACATAGCTAACATAACTATCTATAACTGTCTAACTATCCAACATATCTAACATATCTAACATATCTAACTATCTAACATATCTAACTATAAAAAACATATCTAACTATCTACTTGCAACTGCATAACTATACAAGTATATGACTGCATGACTATGTTAGTATAGAACTCAGTACTATACAACAAGATATTAGACAACTAGCAAAATCGGACGCTAGGGAGTTATTTTTCATGTTTATTTGCGGGGTAGCATAGTTATAATATACAATACAATACGCACGTATACATATACACATGTGTGTTTGGATTCATTTGATGCTCTTGATCCTGTGCCCTGCATGCCGATGAATAACAGATTTGATGAATAGAAAAAGTAAATGAATTCACCTGCAGAGTTGTTTTCTTCTATATATTTATATTTTTCAATCAGAGAGATGCTACGTGTGCGAGTGTGTATTATATATATATATAATTATATATAAATGTCTACAGATCCATGAACATTGATCCATTGATCTACCCAGCGTTGCCCCGTTTGGATATTTGACCAGAGTCTCTGGGATGATTGGCAGCCCAAAGGTGGCAACCACGGGGATCCAATCCACTGCCCCAGGTTGTTACGCAGGACTCCAAAGTGCTGCGAGACGTTGGGATGCCAAGGCTCAAGGATCCATCCTTCGGACAAATGATCCTACCGTTGAAGTAAAGGTTGTACATGACGAACTGGAAAATCACCATTTTTCATAGGTAAATTAGGTAAATCAACTATTTCTATGGCCGTTTTCAATAGCAAACTGTAACAAATTACCAGAGGGTATCCTTCAAGTTCCGATCAAGGGTGGAGTTACTCAGCTTGTTGTCCGTCACTGCTAAATTCGACATCAACCCGACTTTATGTTTTTTTTGCAGCTGAACTTGTCGCGACTTGAACCAGTGCCAGAAATGAGGGGGGTGTGTGGCGAAGGCAACTGATGTGGGGTTCAGCTTTTCCCAACCCCCTCAAAGCTAACCAATGAACTAGTCCTGAAAGCAGCTGCTGCCACTATTTGTTGCATCCCCAAAAGTCCCGGAGTCAGGGATTTTCACTTCCATGTTTGCTTCCACAAAATCGGTGTGTCCATAATTTTGAGCCATAGATATTGTCATCTCAGGTACCCTCTGGTAAACTAACATAGCTATGGAAAATCACCATTTTTAATGGGAAAATCCACTATTAATGGCCATTTTCAATAGCTACGCAGCTACGTTAAATTACCAGAGGGTAGTTGTCATGAAAGTCCGATTGAAAGTGACCCGGCCCAAAAAACCAAGGAATTACACATTTCAAGGCGCGGTTTTTCGGGTGGTCTTCAAGGCAGAAGATCTCGATGTTGGAATGGGAATATCACAGGTTGATGACAAGTGGGGACGAGTAATCTGCATGTTGCAATCATATGAGATGTATAAAGACTATGGAACCATCTATACATAGACAACTACACGTTTTTGCTTTGTGTCCTTCACTTCCTGCTGTTCTAGATTTGCAAGATTAGAGCATCTATCTTTCTGGGATCATCCTTGTCGTCTTGGTCAGTGCATTGGTCAGTGGATCACTTGGGGCGAGCCACGCAGTGCTTCGGATGCGAAGTGAAAATCCCCTAAGATCCCAACTTAAATTGGGCACGTCGATCGGATTCCGATTCCGTCGGCAGGACGAATTCGCGACCGCCGGCTGTGAATGCGGCAGCGGCCGAAACGCCAAAAACCAAGGTGCGACCGGCAGAGAACGTCAGCCTGTTCATCTTCGCGGATGTTCACCCTAACCTGGGTGAACCCAGAACACTTTGCAGCACACAGAAACTAATGCCAGGTGCATGGATCAAAACTTAAAGATTATCTTCCTTTCAGCTTTGAATGGCTGTACTATTCTCGATCTCTTTCTTTTTTTTTTGTTCTCCATATCTATTAAAAAACTGTATATATATATATATATATTATATATACATTATAAATATTATCCCAGCAGTTTGCAACAGACCAGGAGGAACGCGTTGAGGACCTGGAGGACTTACAACCGGCACCTTCAGCAGGGCCTGATGAGCCTTGGCTTAAAATGGATTGACCGTTCCAAAGCAGCGAGATTTTCCATGGGAAAATGGATGGAAATGGTGATTGGGTATATTTTCACAGGGAAAATGGATGGAAATATGAATTGGTGATTGGTGATTGATGTTTTTTTGGGCGTATATTCTCAGACAAACCCATTTATTGCAACAATTCAAACAGTGGGTGACTGATGATGAATCAGTGGATGGAATGGTAAATTATTTGACTTTTTGGACACGCCCAAATACGTAGTGACGCAGTGGTTGTGAACTATTAGTCCTGGTTTTCATCAGTTTGTTAATAGTCAATGGGAGTTAAAACACAAGCATCAATCCCATCGGAGTATCCCCCAAACGAAACCATGGCTTAGGTCTATTCGTTTGGGGGCATATTTTGAGCAGCACGGGATGGGATTTGTAATTGTTCTTGATTGGTGAATGGTTAATTGTTCATGGCTAGTGGAAGTTAGACTACTGGATTATCATTTACCATGAACCATTAGTATGTGTTTCTTTTGTGTACTGTCTGAATTACCATGTTGGTTATTTCATGTTTTTGGAGCATGTTAATCAATGCCATTTAGCATTAGCCATTCACATACTACCAACATAGTAATGGATTTATTAACAATTCCTTGTTTATTATTATCCACAAACCATTGTTTATTTATTTGTTTATTTATTTATCTTTTTAATTTACTTGTTTCATTTACCATTGACCATTCGCATTGGACGCTCCATTCACCACCGCGCCAGGAGCGCATCTCCACAACGAGGATGCCCTCGCTGAAGCAGACTGAAGTGGCCACTGAGGCTCTCTCTCTCTCTCTTTAATTATACACTATGTATTAATATGTACACTATATACACTATACACATGCACATTGTGTGTATATATATATACATATATATATATATCACACGCACACACACACACACGCACCATATACACTCTACTAAACAATCTACTCTATGCATATGATCCAACCCTGACAGGGCCTATCCACGTCCTCAAGACAAGCATCTCCCGTGACCTGGAGAGCCGTTTTGGTGGAGGATTAAGAACCCATTTCGGATGGGAAAACAGGATGAAGAAATCCATTTTAGTCGAATTTCATGTCGTTTTGGTGGACTTTCATCTCATTTTAGTCGAATTTCATGTCGTTTTGGTGGACTTTCATCTCATTTTAGTGGGCTTTCATGTCATTTTGGTGGACTATCATCTCATTTTAGTGGGCTTTCATGTAATTTTGGTGGACTATCATCTCATTTTAGTGGGGTTTCATGTCATTTTGGTGGACTATCATCTCATTTTAGTGGGCTTTCATGTCATTTTGGTGGACTATCATCTCATTTTAGTGGAGTTTCATGTCATTTTGGTGGACTATCATCTCATTTTAGTGGGCTTTCATGTCATTTTGGTGGACTATCATCTCATTTTAGTGGGCTTTCATGTCATTTTGGTGGACTTTCATCTCATTTTAGTGGGCTCTCATGTCATTTTAGTAGACTTTCATCTCATTTTAGTGTCATTTTAGTAGACTATCATCTCATTTTAGTGGGCTTTCATGTCATTTTGGTGGACTTTCATCTCATTTTAGTGGAATTTCATGTCATTTTAGCAGACTTTCATCTCATTTTAGTGGAATTTCATGTCATTGGTAGACTTTCATCTCATTTTAGTGGCATTTTAGTAGACTATCATCTCATTTTAGTGGGCTTTCATGTCATTTTAGCAGACTTTCATCTCATTTTAGTGGAATTTCATCTCATTTTAGTAGACTTTCATCTCATTTTAGTGGAATTTCATGTCATTTTAGCAGACTTTCATCTCATTTTAGTGGAATTTCATGTCGTTTTGGTGGACTTTCATCTCATTTTAGTGGGCTTTCATGTCATTTTGGTGGACTTTCATCTCATTTTAGTGGAATTTCATGTCATTTTAGTAGACGTTCATCTCATTTTAGTGGAATTTCATGTCATTTTGGTGGACTTTCATCTCATTTTAGTGGAATTTCATCTCATTTTAGTGGGCTTTCATGTTATTTTGGTGGACTATCATCTCATTTTAGTGGGCTTTCATGTCATTTTGGTGGACTATCATCTCATTTTAGTGGGCTTTCATTCATTTTGGTGGACCATCTTATTTTAGTAGGATTTCATGTCATTCTACTGGACTTTCATGTCATTTTAGTGGATTTTCATGTCATTTTAGTAGACTTTCATGCTATTTTAGTGGAATTTCATGTCAATTAAGTGGTGTTTCATGTCATTTTAGCGGAATTTCATGCAATTTTAGTAGGGTTTCATGTCATTTCAATGGATTTTCATGTCATTTAGCGGATTTTCATGTCATTTAGCGGAATTTCATGTTATTTTAGTGGGATTTCATGGGAGATTTGAAAATAGGAGTTTCTTTACCCACTACGTTCGGATTTGACATGGGATGGATGACCCCATAGTATTCCCATAGTCCCCATAGGTTTCACGACCTGAGCTGGATATCAGCCATGGATTCTGGGCTATGTTTGGAAGATGCCAAAACATGTTTTTGCCTCTAAATCTTGTGTGTTAGATGATGTTAGAGGTATATACATCTATACAAATACAACTATTATATATATATATGTCTATCTTCTATGTATATATATATATGTATTACACACACATATATATATATATCTTGTATATACACTTAGATATGTACATGATCTTAGACATACTTCACATATGATACACTGTGCATCGAGTTATTTTTGATGCGCATCCCATGGGTCCAAGGCCGCTGTGGAGCCGTCTTCGGAAGAGCAGAGGCGGGGATGCAGTGCTAGAGGACCTGGGACCCCCTGGAGCAAGGAAAATTTCATGTGGGGACGGGCAAAACCGTTTTCACATGTTTTCAATATGGCTTGGGGATGGGTAAAACCTATATAAAATCCTATAAATATGATTAAACATGAATGGGTGGAACATCCATGATGAGCTATTTGGGTGAGCAGTAGGGTACCAGTGCTTGGACCCATAGCCAAATTGGTTTCTCTGAAAATTGTAGGGCACCCAAAAATTTGATGGTTCATCACTTCACCATTTTCCATCATTTTCCCATAGGAATTCAACATAGCTATGGAAAATCATCATCTTTCATTGGGTAAATCAACTATTTTAATGGCCATTTTCAAAAACGCTTTTTGTATGTTTACCAGAGGGTATTCCATTCCCATCATCTGCCCATCATATTGCCATATTCATGTTGGGAACATTTGGGAACCCTGGCCATAAGCCTACCATCACCTGACTGTACCTTCGAGTATCCTCCAGAAAGCACGTTCCAGGCCAACGAAGGTGCGCTCTCGAGAGAGTGACAGCCACGGGAGCACCTCGGCGCTCTGGAGACCCGACAAAATGAGGGGAACAGCCTTAGATCAATGGTGATTTATTTGGTGATTCTACAGTGATTTGTGTGGAGGATTTACCCTCTGGTAAACTAACATAGCTATGGTATATACGGCCCATAGAAATAGATGGTTTTCCTATTAAAAATGGCCATTTTCAGTAGCTATGTTAGTCATTATCAGAGGGTATTTGGAGACAATGGGATCTTCATGGGATTTTTCAATGGGACATGATGGGACATGATGGGACATGATGGGACATGATGGGATTTTAACCACGGATTTGTTTTTTGGATTACAACAACCAAATTGTTATCTCTCAGGTGCCACTCCTTTTCAAAACGGGTCAGAATCCCACTGGTATGGCACAAATCGGATGAAGGGGATATGAGCAGCTGGCAATGTTGGTGATTTTCTGGGGAACAGGTCAGCCCATTGGTTAAGATAGGGATTCTACTGACCCCATGATCGTCCCAGATGAGTAGCGATTACCAACACAACTGCTGGTTGATGACTGATTGATGAATAGAGGGGTAAGGTCAAGGTGTTAAGTTCCCTCAAGCTCTGGCCCCCTATGTTTTCCCAACAATCCCTACATTTGTGAATCCATTCGCTGCTGCCCTACATTCTGGCTTCACCATTATCCACTAAAATTTGAGACAACTCGAAAAAAATATAAACCAGCAACACGAAGGAATTTTTGAAAGTAAATATCCTGTCATCCCATGATTTATATCCACTATCCCAACCATGAATTCATATGGATGGGATTTGTTCACCACATTTCACCAACAAATAATGAATATGAATGGCATCATCAGTCCCTCACCTGAAGTCGAACCAAATCATGGATACCAACTCTAACGTCGCAACCCACTAGCATTTGGGAAAAGTCCAAGTTAGAAGTCAGTTCAACCAATAATGGGCTATAAGTGATACCCTCTGGTAATTTAACAGTTCGCTATTGAAAATGGCCCATAGAAATAGTGGATTTACCCATTAATAGCATGGTGATTTTCCAGTTCGTTATGGGACAGTTTACCAGAGGGTAAGGGGCTATAACTGATACTTCACTTGATAGTAATACTTCTTTTGTAGCGTATCCAGTCATTTCGTTCTAACGGTTAACCAAGAAAGAAGGGGAACAACCTATCTCTAACCAACACCAAAAAGGGCTATAAGTAACCAATAAAGACATATCCAATAAGAAACCAATCAATATCCAACAAGTAACCAAATCCTGGTTAATACCTGTAGTTAACGGTTAACTATACCCTCATTACCTATAGATCAGCCCCATTAAAAGAGGATTGCCTGCTGTGTACGCCGGGACGTGGGACGTGGACGTCGGGGACGTGGGGGACGTTGGGGACGTAGAGGACGTCAGGGACGTTGGGGGACGTGGGGGACGTTGGGGACGTATAGAGGACGTAGTGGACCTTGGCCCGGGACGTAGGGGACGTAGGGGACGTAGGGGACGTAGGGGACGTAGGGGACGTAGGGGACGTAGGGGACGTAGGGGACGGGGGATGTGGACGGAGGACGTGGGACGTCGTGACGGGGACGTGGGGGACGCGGGGGACGTGGGGGACATGGGGGACGTGGGGGCCGTGGTCTTGGGTGTCTGTCGGGGGCAGGGAATGGGGATGTTGTGGACGTCTATGCGTGGGGGTTGTGAATGTTGCGAATGTCTCAAAACACTGTATTCATACGGTGGTGCAAGACTGCACTTTTGATTCAGATCTTGATTGTTGATTTGCGTGTCCCTGTGAAGGAAACAGGCCCAAATGATACATCCTGATTTGAATGTTGCAAGGCAGATTCATATTGCAACAGTACTGCAAGATATTGTCTGGTATGGCTTGAGGTCAATGGGAATAAATGTCCTGGGAACATCATGGTAAAGGAGGAAGAGGATGTCATGTATGCCATGGCAGGACCACTACTTACCATAAGTCTCCTGCATTTGTGTTGCGGCACGGGCATTGCCGAGCAGCACCCCTGCATTGGCGCTGCTGTCCCTTTGATAAACAAAGCAGAGCGGCGGAACGGATGGCCAGAGTCATGTGAAGTAAAGGATGTAGCCGCAAAGATGTGGAGGAGCTGGATGACATATACAGAGAACGCAGGGGACATGGAGGACGTAGAGGACGGGACGTCAAGGACGCGAAGCACCCACAGGACGTAGAAGAGACAGGACGGGACAGACATAACGTAGAGGAGCAGACAGCAAGGACTTAGAGTACACACAGGACGGACGGGACGTGAAGGACGCAGAGGACAAAGAGTCCGTAGAGGACGTGGTGGGCCTCTATAGAGGACGTAGAGGACGTGGAGGACGCGAAGTCAAGGACGTAGAGGACGTCAAGGACGTAGCGGACGTCAAGGACATAGAGGACGGGACGGAAAGGACGTAGAGGACGTAGAGGACGTGGAGGACGTAGAGGACGTAGAGGACGTGGAGGACGTAGAGGACGGGATGTCGAAGACGGAGCATGGGAGGAGGAGACGTCAAGGACATAGAGGACGTCAAGGACGTAGCGGACGGCAAGGACATAGAGGACGGGACGGGAAGGACGTAGAGGACGTGGAGGACGTAGAGGACGGGATGTCGAAGACGGAGCATGGAGGAGGAGACGTCAAGGACGTAGCGGACGTCAAGGACATAGAGGACGGGACGTCAAGGACGTAGAGGACATAGAGGACGTGGAGGACGTAGACGGCGGGACGTGGAAGACGGAGAGTGGAGGAGGAGACGTCAAGGACGTAGAGGACGTTAAGGACGTAGCGGACGTCAAGGACATAGAGGACGGGATGTCAAGGACGTCAAGGACGTCAAGGACGTAGAGGACGTGGAGGACGTCAATGTCCAATGTCCTGGTCGATGTCCTGAAGTGCAAGGCGGGCAATTATGCATTAAAATAACCCCATCAACTATAGATAAACCCAATCAGCTATAGATACAATAGACACTATAGATACCCCATCAATCATAGATAGAGCACATAAACCATAGATACCCCATTAAACATCAGATAAACCCCATCAACTATACTATAGATACTATAGATAAACCCCATGAAATATCTCCATTAACACCATTAAATCACCAACTAATCCCTGGATCTTTCATGACGCCCCGAGGCCTCGAAAGCGCTTCCCCGGAGCGCGAACGGCGCCACACACACTTTGTGGGCGCAGGCGCCCGACACGAAACCGGGGCTTGAAATACATGGGGGGTCCTTGGAAAAAGTATGAAAACTTGATAAAACTTGTATTTTTTTTAATTTTGTTCCTTTACATCATTTTTCCTTAAAATTTTGACGTGGAAATGTTGAAGCTTCCATGTTTGGACTGGGGTGAAAACAGCTGCGAAATGGTTCCCTCTGTTTTGGGTCAATTCGGCCAAGTGTAAATGTGTGTGTGTGTGTGTGTGGCGACAATGTAACATCCATCCTCAATCAATCTCGTTGGTCAGGGAGTATACACGAGCTGGTGCGCAGCAAAAGTTCTGATCCCTTTCCCTTGAAATCTGCCTGTTTCATGGGCTTTCCAGGCATTTCGGACCTTGAAATTGCGATGTGCATTACAGCCTTCCCGCGATCACAGGTCCACAAAAAAGTCAAAGTCCGCCCACCAGCAGGACCTGAAGCTCCGGGGGACAGTTCCAGCTCCCTATGGGTCAAAGATGTTGTGTCTTTCAGAATGAACAAGTGTTATGTGCTATTTTTCACCAGTATTTTTGCCCAAATTCGTTGAGATCACTCCCACACTCCAGTCATCGTGCGGAAGTTTGGGAGGAGTGGCAGTCGAAAAAGCTGCGCTGCAGGCCTCACTTCAACGGCAGCTTGGCGGGGCAGTGGTTGACCCGAGATACCAAACGGATCCAAACGGGTTTTAAAACTTACCCTCTGGTTATTTAACATAGCCATGGAAAATGGACCATTTATAGATGGTTTACCTATTAAAAGTGGTGATTTTCCATGGCTATGTTAAATAACCAGATGGTATGCTGTCAAGATTTCTACTTATCCTCATATTGAATCGGTGGAGACGGTTGGTCCCTCCCCTGTGAAAAAGTGGTGTTCGTACCATAAAAGGCAGAATTCACTGATGCATAGGGAGTGAGTGACAGCGGCTCTTGAGGTCAGGGGAGAAGTAGTTGATTTGGCTTCCCTCCTATCATTTGGTTAGGATGGAACACTCAATGAAACAACAGTCGGCTAGAAACCAACAATCCAGCAGAAAGCAACAATTAGCTATAGTCCAAGTATCAATTTTGGTCAATTGGTTCATTCAATTCATGTATTGCTACACAGTATATCCAACCACACACACACACACACACACACGCAACCAACAACTATACCTACACAAGTCGATACTGATACACAATATATATATATATACACATACTATGCCAGTATATACAATCACCACCTGAACAATGTTTCTTCGCTATAATCGTCAAACTGTGTAAGTAGCAACTAAATCTAGGTGAATATTACCAGAGAGGGAGGGGTTTGCCCCATGTTGGGGGGGCTCTAGTGTATATTACAGATCTCCTACATATATATATACATACATCTCTCACGAATCCAAGTCAGTTAGAATATGTTCATTTCAAAAAGTTTTTAGTGACAGCTACAAAAAAAACATAGAACTTTAATTTGACTAGGTACCATGCACGGTTTAATCTAAAACATAGAACTTTAATTTGACCAAGTACCATGCACTTGCATCTGACATCTGATCTGATTTCCCCAAAGATCCTGGCCCATTGTGCTTGGTTTAGGTCCAGCCTCAGGTCAGGCAGGACCTCCAGGACTTGCGTGCTGCCTACGCCCTGGAAGGCGCCCCCCTTTGCGCAAGCCGGTGGAGTTTTCCAATGGTTGTGGACGTAGAGATGGGCACTTATGACGGGAATTTCAGCGAAAAATGGAAAAACATAGGACATGGGTTCGGACTTAAGTGACTTAAGCTTCAAGTAATTTTGTGATCCTGATGAGGTGTTTGGTCCTGTTTGGTGGTCAACAAACATACGCACCTTTTGACGCAACTTCCTTAGACTTTAACCAACCAAAATGGTGATTGAACTGATTGAACCAACAAGAGATGGGATGAAATGGGGGACATCATCCAAAAAATGCGATGTAAAACCGCTTAGTTCCTGTTTGGTGGTTTGAGATATCTACATGTGTCTACCTACATGTATCTACACGTATCTACATGTATGTATCTACATATATCTAAATGTATCTACATGTATATCTATGTGTTTTTGTATCTGTATATATATATATCTATACATACATACAGTATGTATGTATTATATATATATATATATACAGACTATTTACACGTACACCCGCGATGACGATTCCAAGCGCAGCCCAAACACCAACTCAACAGGGTTGCCCTTGGCTATGACTATCCGTAGCTGTCCGCATGACTTGGGCTGATGGAACTGACAAAGTTGTGGGGATGGGTCAAAATTATCACAACCTCAAGTTCAGTTATGGATGATGTTTGAGTTCCGAAAAATGCCAAGCCTTTTGTGCTTTCAATGGTACCTCAACAACTTGACCATACCCAAATGCCCACGGTGAAATCCCCTTTTTGGATCCTTACACCTCTATTTTTCATAGTTCAATTACAACTTTTTGGTGGATAAATGACCCAATTTTCAGACCCAAAGGTGGTTGATTTGTGTTTTTTCAGCAACTTTTGGGAGCACTGTACCCACAAATTGATTACCCTTTGGTACTCGTAGTTAACTTATCACTGATCACTATTTGGTGGTTGTTCTATTGGTACCCCAGAGTATGCGGCCACTGCTGCAAAAACACAAGGCCTGTTGTCCGATGGCTACGAAGCGCATGGGGCGACTGGAGCAGGCACGTTATATACCACAATACTCGCTGTTGTCCAAAAATTGGGATTTGTTTGGATTTACCATTCCTTAAATTCCTTATAGCCATTTGATCAATTAATTTTCTGGTCCCCATGGTTGTAGGGAAAGCAGTTGGGGGATCCAAGTCCAACAGGCAGTGTTTCCAGCTGGAATTTCCCCATTTTTTTTCGGTGCATATATGGCACTCTTTCTTGCTCCGGGGTGGATATGGAGTTTAGTCCTCAGCCATTGGCTGCCCTGGAAGGGTTCCTTCCTCCAATAAACTCTAGACTTCATACTCTCCAGACTTTCACGCAGAAGATTTCTAGACTCTGCAGTTCCTACTATTCACTAGAGGCTTTGTGCAGAATAAGCTCTGGATTCAATTCCCTTTACTTGGATGGATTTCTATTTGGTTGGCACCAGTATTTTCGTCAGGAATTCAACCCAGAGTTAAGTCCATGCTTGGAGACAGACACTTTCCGACTATGTTGTTCCTTGGGTATCCATGCAAGATTGGCCATGATCTGCTTAGTATCAAACAGCTCTGGCTGCCAGTATATCATTGGATTAAGATTACCCCCCAAAAATGGGATAAACATCCAAAAATGGGATACAATGCTCATCCCATCCCCCCTTGATGACCAAGTTCCACTTGCTCTCTGGCGCATCGGTTCCTGATGTTCCAATGGGGGATGGCAAAAACAATAAACCACCCCATTTTTTTGGGGGGATGTGTTTTTTTTATTGGTTACCACAGAAAACACAAGTACTGACCAGTTTATGATTGGTTAAAAAACCACCATGTAAAAAAGAGACCACGGTGAAAAATCGTAGGGACAGTACGTGTCAAGACTATTTGGGCTTGATACTTACTTTAGAGATCATAAAACATCAAGATGCTGCATGTTCGGCCGGATCCAAATTCTGAATGGGTATCCTGCATATCATCTGGTCATACTCAGGCCAGGTCGTTGCTGCGGAATGAATGCTTGTGACATGCTGCAGTGGAAGAGTGTCAAGAGTGGAAATGTTCAAGAAGCACGACGGAGCATGTAGGGTGTAGAATTGACCTTCATGGTAAAGGTTTGGCGTGCATACTGCATTTGTACCGGGTTGGCAGGTTCATTGTGACAGTGTTTGTCGATTGATGTTTTATCTGTTCCGATTGAATGATGACGATAGACTAAAACATGTATATAATGTATTGCATATGAAGG